ATGGGCCTCTGCTATTTCATGGCAAGCGCTTTCATCATATTTTCCATTTTTAAATAGCTCTGTAGAAATTAATGCTCTCCAAACTACTTACAAGAAAGAAATTATTTCATCAAAACAGAACATCTGTGTTTGACAGAACTATTAAGGATCCATGTCCTTCACTTTCTATTATTTGCCTTTATCTTTCATAAAATAAAGATTTTACTGATTTTTTAAAGATGAATTTTAAAAACGTAATCCATTGTACTTCAATTGTACATGGGCTTCTTAAAAATTGTCATCTCTGTTGGACTTTTTCAAGATTACCTTTTCAGTATCACTTTTACTATTGAGAATGCTTTAAAGCAAACTTTACCCTGATATATACAAAAATTGTTACCGTACTACAAATTGTCCTGCCTTCTGAAAGGGCTTGTCTAGGATCAGTGGATAGACCATGCTATGTTGGGGCAGATTGCTGCAGTGTCAGGGTATATGCAAGTTCTTTGATGACTCCAGGATGGGTGCTGCTTCACTGCTCCACTCCTGTAGCACAGCTGCGCAGCACATTCACGTACATTAGATTTAGCAGAGGTTAATTGTTCACACAACCATTGTTTCCTTATGTGGGTTTGCCTTGAAACCTTTGACGTTCTTTTTATTGTACCTCTTGCTGTGCAAATTTCCTTGTTTTGTTTTGCTTCTCGAAGTAATTTTTGGTTGATTATTGTGTAGTTACAGAATTAGAGTAATAACATCTAATTGTACATCTGAAGCAAAAACATGTAATTGTGGGAGAGTAGATTCAATTTAAAGAAAGAAAACCCCTCCACCAGGTTTTCTCATGGTTTGCACAGTGCATTTGCCAGGCAGTGCTGCTTTGATTGCATCTAACCTGCAATTAGCATGTGCAATTAAGACATAATGAATGTGTGCAATTGCATTATTTCAGGATGTAACAGTAGCAATATTTAGCAGTTACTGTACTACACACAGTGCCTATAAGCTCAAACAATTTATCAGCATTTACCAATTATGCCACAGGAAGGAGGGCAGGCGTGTGAGTGGGCCTTACCTACAAGTGATTTCCAGGATGAACACACTTCACTCTCCCATTGAAAGCAGGCAGCAGGGAAGACAGGCTGCACAGATTTGGCGCTGTTGAAAACAGGGGACTCAAATACTTTCAGCTTACCATTAGCTTGTCATAGAGCTCATCTGTGACATAATAGGAGAAAGCAGACTTAGCATTTAGTATTTCTGAATTATTCTTCTCTGCCTTCAACATTTCGTATCAGTTTGTAAGCCCAGTCATGCTACCCAAGGATTTAAAAATAAAAATTATTTGAGCATGAACTAATGCTGTGATCTATGTGTATGAGGAAACCTCATGCATATAACAGATTTTTACACGCTCTTACCTGGCATTCTAGGAATGCAACTCTACCAGTTCTACCAGGCTTCTCTTAAAGGACATTACCTGTCCTTTAAGAGTCAAATGATAATTGAAAAGCATCTTAATGCATCATTGAAGGGTACAAATGAAAATACATTTCTATTCAGTCTCACAGATATAAAGATAAATCTAAATCTCTAGGCATGAACCTTGAATAGATAACTGAGATGTTCTGAGTGCCAGACTGCTGGTGCTGAAATGAAAGATCCCAGCGATAAAACTCAGGGCCCAATCCAGCAAGAGCTTCCACTTAACTCAGTGAGACTTAGAATCACTAAAATCATACATAACCAGACTCTATTGATTTTTACTAATCTATCACAGAAAATCATATTCGAAGTCCTGAGACCAGGACTGCTTGTTCCAGGCACAATGATTTCTGTGAGTGATTTTGCACATGGACCCAGCACAAAATGCCCAAAGTTCTCACAAGATGCATCCACACAACTTAGAGCAAAAACTGCCTCAGCATCCCTTCTGTCTAAATATTTCCTTCCTTTCCTAATGCTTCATATTGAAAAAAAGATTACTAAAAGTAGACAACAGAACTTACAAAGATTGAAACGGCCATTAATCAGCTTCTACACTGATTTATAGCTGTACCTCATTACTTCCAGAACCTGGCTTAGCATCCTGAGAGATGGCACTTCTCAGTAACTAGGAGAGGGAGCTCATGGGCCAATCCCATCTAGCTAGAATAGTAAATAAATACATAAAATGGCCATTTCTTCAAAAACAATTTAACTTCTGCATTTGAAAGGAGGAGTAAGATAGATTGTGACACATTTTCATCCAAGATGTTTATTAAAGATGATATGGGCACAGCACGCAGATAAACCACATCCTGAAGCAGGGTTAGACTAGGTTTCACATTTTAAAGCTGTGCTGGCAGTTTGTTGCTTCTCTATCTGGAGAGCTCATGCATACCTTCTTTATATATATCTCTGCAGTTTTAGATTGACAAATGACAAACACAACCTGTATTTATAAGGGTGTCATTTACTTCACTTTTTATTAAAATCACCAGCTACAAAACAGACATTTTGTACATACTAGTCCTAAATAGACAACTATGAGAAAATGACATTAGTCCTGAAATGAGACCATCATATTGCGCACCTGGGACGTGATAAGGGGTCAGCAATAATAGAAAAGATATGGAGATGAGATAAGGTACTTGCATCACACTGGAAGGTTAACCTATACCTTTGAAGAAATCAGCGCACATGTTGATCAGAGACCTATTTTCTGCTAATATTAAAAAAGTTCCATTTTGCTCAAACCACTACTGCTACAGAAAGGAACTGGTTACTTCAGTCTGACATGTGCCGTAAGCGTCACAGTAGCTGGAAACAGAACTGCACTAACAATGCAATGAGAAACAAGACAGTAACACTTGTTTGATAGTAGCGATGTCACGGAACACCATGGACCAAATTCTTAGCCGACAGAAGGTGACCTCTGCATCAAAAAATCAAGTACTCACCAAGAATCTGGACCATAATCAAAACATCCTGACGCTGCATTCTCTTTCCC